TATCTCTTAAACTAGCTGAAGGTGATCTTCGTACCTCGATAAAAAAATGATGATAATATTACATATCACTTTGGAAACTATGCAACTCTTTTTCATGCAACGTTTTCAACCAAGTTAAAAAAATAATATGTATTTATACGAATAAACGTACTGTACATCGTTATTAGATTGCATCAAAAAACTAATTTTATTAGTGAAGTCAAATAAGGTCCTTAACACTAGAACTATCAAAGTGGTCAAAAATTATAATTTTTGTTAGATGTATAAAACTAATTTTTGTTACAGATATGAAACAGTGTATTTTTAAATGTTTAAATGACTCTTCGTAAAATGTAAGCTTATGTTGTTTATTATATTATAAACTTCTTCTATTTTTTTTTTTTTTTTATTTTATCTGATGGAAATTTTATGCTTTAATCACCTAGAATAATTCTATCAGAGTATTGTACAGAGAGCTATAAGCGTAGAAGTAACATACGAAAACAGTGACGCATAGAATAATTGAATAACAGATCAGGCACATGTGACTGTCACAGCGAAAAAGAAAGAAGAATTTTCGTAGTCTAAGTTTATAATTGTATAGTTACGAAGAGGTACATTCTAGTAATATTTTTACAGCAAACATTATTATCCTTGTTAATTGTACTCATTTTCTTATGAGATACTGACAAAATTGCTATTTCACTCACGTGACGGTAGGTTTACCAATAAGAATATTTGTTACAATAAGTAACATAAAAATAATTTATTTACGTTTAAAAACATTAAAAATTTTAAATACCTACGCCATGGCATTAAAATATCCTCATCTTACTTCAATATTTACAAGTTTAACTTTTCTTTGTTATTATAATTCTGTTGTAAAAGAAAGAAATAAATCGTCAATTACCGAAGATGGCCCATCCAAAATTTCTCGCTCTCGAACCGCACTAACGTGAGAGAAGAAGAGAGAAAGAGAGAGAGAGAAGAAGCAGAGAGGACGATGTGAACGAAGCGGAAAACCGTTTCGAGGAACCGGGCCATTCGTAACCTTTTCGCATGTACTCAACCGCGGACAGGTCGAACGCGCTACAGGTTTTGGCAACGCTTTTCTTCGAACCAGTCACGATCGAAACGCATCGTTGTCGTCGTCGTCGTCGTCGCTGCGAGTTCCCAACCGGAAATCGAATCTGGATGAGAATACAGGTTTCCTCGGGCAAACTACCCACGAAATCGAGTTTGTTTGTAGCCACGCACGATCCCACGAAACGCGAAACGAGTTGCCGCGTCCGGGACGTCCCGACTCGGAAGCTAGAAGAACTCGTTCTCATCTAGTTCTCCTGGCCGTCGTTTCGATATTCCCACTCTCGATCTCGTTCTCGTTCCCACCTCGGTGACAATGCCCTGCAACATCATTTAATTGATTAGCATTTTATTTGTTAACTTATAATATACGATATATAATATGTATATGTTATTTATGAATATATGAAAACAATAATATATGAACTGTACCATTTTCAAAGGCCATTTTCGTTCAAATTTATTCATTATATATATCATACGTATTAATAATATTATGATTATTTGAATATTTATATCTTTATTTATATATTATACGAATATTGGAATATAAATATTGTATATATAATATAACATTTATAATACAGAGAAATTATAAATATAAATAATATATATTACTTATAATATATAGTGACAGTTAATTATACGCTATTGTAATTATAATTAAATATATATTAATAATTATGTTGCATCCTCGTACCACTCATCACTTAGTATGTAATTGTTTTTTTTCTTTTTTTCACTTATCATTATCATTCTAACTATACGACAAAACGAGTTGTTTGAAGTTCTTCACTTGCGAGATTCGTCACGAAGTGATCGTGATCGGAAAGTGATCGGGACGGAAGCACGAAACGAACAGGAGGAAGTAATCGAACACCTTGCGGTGGCAGTGGTAGCTGCGACAACGCGTAGGAGGCCAAGCTACGAGAGCCGCTCGTGGTTAAGAGGGCACGAACCGGCTGCCAGTGGACGCGCACTTCGAGAAGCGAAACCCTGCCGGTGTCGATGGGACCGAGTACCACTTTACGAGCCAGCATGTGTTCCCGTCTCCGATTTCAGATTCCGACCCTCTCTCCTTTTCCTTTTCTCTCTTTTCCGAGGAAGTCGATACGCTTTTTACGCTTCGATCTCGAATCGAATCCACTGTCGACCGGGTCGAATTCATCCTCGGGCTGTGCCGTTCGGTTATTATTATTATTCGATCGCTTTACTTATCCGGTCGGTTTATTTGATAATTGAAACAATTGGAAGTGAGCGATTCTTTTTTGTCAGCGAGATCGAATAATTAGATCGTAGCGTTATAAAAATACATATTTGGGGGATGATGAGACACACCTGGATTTTTCGTGTTTCTTAACAATAGAAGATTGTATCTTGATACATGAGTCTACGAGAAATATCGTTTCCTTGGTGACATATGACACAACTATTGCTATTTAAGTTATTTTCCTGGAACTGTGAGCATTTGCTCAAATACAAAGAGAACAAAATGATAGAATGTATTTATCGGTATTTATAATACAATTAGTATTTGAAAATAATTTACAACTTTTAAGAGCAATTTTTTTAAGAATCACAAAAATAGAAGCGATAAAATTCTTAAGTAATTAAAATAACAGCTCTGTTCTGTAATGCGATGTTCTTCAACAGAGGAAAGATAAGAAAGATGTTGTGTAAGGGATAAGTTCGAATCCGCTGAAGACACGTTATTTTTTAAACGAAATTTATGTTAAATTACAACAAAATTCATTTAATATAAATTTATTTTAAATTTATTCCATTTTTGTTCTAATTTGTTATTCAATTCTCTATTTTATATTTTATGTTCTGTGTGACTGAAACTGATGATACAATCAACCCTGTATTATTAGAAGAGAAAGAAATTATTAATTATTACTATTATTATCACTATTATTTACCTACACCACAAGTTTAAAATCTTACAAGTAGATAATAATTGTCGCAACTGATTAATTTGATATTTATACCAAAATCAACCCTTGTTATTATTAACCTTCTATTAGAAGAGAAAGAAATTATTAATTATTAGAGTAGGTATATCAGTTTCAAATCTGAGGAATAATAACTGTTACAACTGATTAGTTATTTTTGCAATGGTACACAGTGATGAAGCAATAAATATACCTATATAAAATAAAATTTTCAAAATGTGACATACAACTTTCAAATTACAGAAAGTTAAATTAAATCAATGATTCCAAAAATAATTATCTCCAATGTCCAACGATGCTAATTAGAAAGTTTAAAACGTCCTTTTCACGTGTTTTAATTACAGCCGCAAAAGCAAAGCGTAAAAAACGAATCACGTCGATGACAAAACGCGTTCGAAATTGGACAAATCGAGGGGTCTCAGCCGCGTTTCACTCCGAACGTTTTACAAGCGTCGAAAGACGCGGCTCTCACGGGTATTTGGATTTTCCCCTCTTTCGAAGTCGTCTCGAATTCAGACGAACGAGAATATAAATCACGATATATTATGTTGAAGCGATGATTTTAATCGCGGCACCTAGCCTTATTAAGAATCATAATTTTTTTTTTTCTATTTTCTGCGTACGTAAACCCGCGCAAAAATTTTGAAACAATTCCCCTAATTGTACTGTAAAATACCCATGCAATTGAAAAATTTTATTACCCAAAATGAATAGTGAAAATTAAAAATGAGAAATATTCGAAGATTTTAGGTACAATTGACAAAGTTGTGAAAATGATCAGGTAATTCATAATGGTGAATTTTTGGAGATTTAAAGGATTTTTCGTACAATTTTAGTTTCAATTTTCATTTGCCGTATCAAAGGATTTTAATTCCCTATAGATGAAATTAAAATTAAAATTGTATGAAAAATCCTTTAAAGCTCTAAATATATCATTGCGAACACACACACACACACACAACAAAAAGGTGAATGAAATAAAAGTTACGTATAAAAACGAATGAGCTATGCTGTATTTGAAAAATACAGAAATGAGTTACAGAAACTAACTTTGGTACTAAAAAAATAAAACTTAATATTGTACCTTCTCCTTATTCTTCCACTTTCGTTTCTCTGATGCAAGTTTTAGATTTTAATGATAATTTTCCTTAGTCTATTTTTTTTTTTTTTTAATTCTCCGTCGATCGTTAAACACTATGGACATTGAAATCCACACAAGTGCTGCACAAGCCAATATTTATTGCATCGTTACGTACCTATTCGATCAGATTCAATTGTTCTAACTTCTACATAAGAATTCCAAACGCAACCGAATTACTCCAAGCGTGTTCGACAATGCATTGAGAAATATAAAATGAAAATATAAACAAATAGGATCGAACGAAGATCAGGAACAGTTTCACAGACGAGTTGACGAGACGAAGAAAGAAAACACGCAGGTGGTCGTGTTTCCTTGAATCCTCGAGGAAAAGCATGCACGTCTCGATTAAACAAATCGCCGAGGGGATTTCGCGTAAAAAGAACACATTCGACGGATTACAATACACTGGAAAACGAATGACATTGTCAGCGTGGAGCCCTCGTAGGACTGCGATATCCAATACTTGGTTCACTTCGCTCGTACGTTGGCTTCCGCACGCTTATGCATAAACGCCATAATAAACACAGGCATAAGCATAAACACACAGAGAATAGGCAGAACGAAGGAAGGAACGGTCTCACCCCCGTGGAAGCCTCCTTCGATTCAGAGGGACGAAGGAGCCTATATGGTCACGCAGCTGTCCCATGTCCAGATGTCCGGTTTTCGGCCGCGGGACCGACTCACTGTGAGAAAACCAATCCTTAGGGTGCCTTCTTTCGTTTTCGTTTCTCCCGCTTTGTCTTCCTTCGGGCTCTGGTTCGCCGTGTTCGCCTTCCCTCTTCCGTTTTCCCGGTCTTCCTTGTCGGATCCCCAATGCACATTAATTACCCCGATCCGAGGCTATCCTTCTGGATTATCCGAAATTTAATACACACGACTGTACACACACACACATACGATTATATGCACGCGAATTCTCAAACGTACAAACTTCGAGGCTCCTCCATTGTTCGCTGGTTAGACCTCAATTAGAACACGCGTCGGTTATTTGCTTTCTCGATAAATTGGTCTCTCTCACGATAGATGGATCGTTTCGTGGCCACGCTCGACAATTTTATGCAAATTTACGCTTTTCAAGGATATTATTAAAAAGAAAATTGGAAATATAATATTACAAAGAGCGTTGTACTTCATATATTTTTTCACGCTTTGACGGTCACACGAGTGGATTAAAGATGGCTGATCCTGAGTCAGGGACGACTGAATTTAAAAAAAAAAAATTAGCGAGTTATTTGAGATGCTTGCGTCGAATTATTTTTGATAAGGAGTGAATACAATACGCGGATACGCCGCCATCCTTCTAAAAATCGGTTCGCGAACGAGCGTAATTCGGCCGCGGGGTTCATCACCGCGAGTCGAATGGAATTTGAAAGCGTCGCGACGAACGATCACGGGCAATGATAAAGAGAATAATCGTAGGAAATGCGCGCAAGCTCGCGCGGCTATGCTAATTGAGTAGATTAGATCAAAGAGAATTCGTTGCGAACAACAGCCCCATTATCTTCTCCTCGTCCATCTTTCGTTCCCCTTACGTATCGGACTTTATGCGTTCGCCATTCTTCGTCCGAATTATTTCTCGGTGAAAAAAATTACACGCGTTCTAATTGAATTCTCTGACCATTCGTTTCGGTAACCTGGAACTTTCGCAACCTAATCAACCTTCACACTAGAACAAACTTTCATCTTTTGGTCATCACAATTCTCTTTATTCTCGCATAGAAGGGTTCCTAGTCGAGAGGACAAGCAAAACATTCCTAGTGTAAAATTTTTGTAAAATTGTAAAATTAATATGTCAAATAAATGTGTAACAATTTTTTCGTGTTACATCAATGCTCGATTGTTCTCAATGTTATACTAATTTATATATATATATAGATTATCATGTACAGAAATAAATTCGATTATCTGGCGTTCCTTGCTTCCTAATTATCCATCCAACATTGGGCCGTAATCTTAGAAATGGTAAAGCCGGAGTGTGCGCGATATCGATTTTTATCAATGTCGTAATTTACTTTCTTATCTCGCCGCAGTCGGTCTGCGACAAACGCCACCGAACAGGGGATCATCGATAAAATCCCAGCTAACGAGAACGCGTAAATGTAAAGTAGGAAACTACCAGAAGGTTATCGTCCTTTTACCAAATGGACACCGTATATTATATGTATAGCAAGTTTGAAAGATTTTAGATTTCCCATAGAAGTTCGACGCCCTCGTCGAATTATCCTTCACAAACTTCTCGTGCATCACGTTGCTCTCTTGTGTTGAAAATGATTTTTCATTCAATTTCAAATCCAACGGTAATAAATTTCGCAATTATAATATGTATCATAACGTAATGTATTTATCACAACCTATTACACATTTCTATATATTTTTAAGTATTTAATTTATTACGTATCATAATATATTTTCAAGCACTTGATTTTCGGTGCAAATAAATATTAAATTCATCCGTGTTAAATTGAAG